TGTGGTTACCACAACAGGCAGCACTGCATTTTACATTGCATAAAATGCGATCGTGGCTGAAGAGTTGGGAGTTCACCTTGTAATCGGAAGGTTCGAGACAGCCCCGGCTTGGACAGTCTTGTTGTGTTCTTGGACACTTCATCCGTTGGTGGTCAGAGGGCCCGATGGCGGCAGTGTCTGGCAGCCTCGCTGCGCCCCAGGGGTGGCTGTGGCTACAATGTAGCTTGCCATCACCAGTGTGTGAATGGGTGGATGACTGGTTGTATAAAGCGCTTTGGGGTCCTTAGGGACTAGTAAAGCACTATACAATTACAGGCCATTTATTCTTCCTTATGGAAACCCAAAGATATGTGTTTATAAAATATGATCAGTATTTGGAGGTAGTTGTATTTAAATCATTACAGAAAAAGCCTACACTTGATCCTGGTATTTTAACCCGATTTTCATCACAGCACAGGAAAAATGCTAGCCAAGGTTATAGATAGATATTTAGATAGATATTTTTCCCTAAAATTAACTTATCTTTATTAGGTACCAGTTATTGCAATGTGGGTGGAAACCAAACTATCGATGAAGCTCACACAAAGGTACAAAGAGAACATGGAAAAGCCATAAAGGCCACAGCTGACTAAGGGTTCAAATCAGGAACCCTCTTGCCACCCCTTTTAAAATCCAGAAATCCTATTTAAATCTTTGATCATGCGCCATCACATCTTAAAAACTTCTTGTACCCTATTATCCTAAGAGAGCACATTGTTCTCCGAATGCAGTCTTACTTGAGGTCCCCAAAAGTATAATGGAAGACAGAGCTGTAACCTGTCAGTCTCCACTCCAGTGCAAATAGCACACAAACACCCTCTATACTTTTATCATTAGCTTCTAAACATTCATGACATGAAAGTGTTTAAAACAAATCCTTGTTAGGGTACTAGCAACACATTGCTATATATACTTCCAGGTAATATTATTGAAGTAGCTTATGCAAAAACAGCTATTTGTCAGCAAATGTTATTACAAAAAAGGGTGGGGTTTCAATAATTGCTACTTTTGCTTACTTTAGTTACTTTCTATGCAAATTGGCTACAGGAGACTCCCAAACAATAATGCAGGACAGGATTGTATACACATAAAGATACAACAGCTGTATTTTCAAGTATTTTACATTAAAGTGATAAAGTTGAACGATACTGTGCAGAAAAATTTGAGTATACAAATGCTACACAAAGCTTCTATGTGTGATTCAATATCTTTCCCACCTTCCAAACTTCCATTATTACATTTTCAAATCCAATCTTACTGCTATAAATTAAAAAATGCCACT